ATATCAGAAAGATGTTTACCTGTGCTTTATTGACTATGCAAAGGCTTTGATTGTGTGGATCATGACAAGCTATGGACAGCATTGTGAAGTATAAGTATTCCGGAACACTTAATTGTGCTCATGAGGAATCTGTACCTGGACCAAGTGGCAATTAGTTGTTCGAACAGAACATGGGAACACTGAATAATTTCAAATTAAGAAAGGTGTGTGACAGGGTTGTATTCTCTCACCATACTTATTCAACCTGTATGCTGAGCAAGTAATCCGCGAAGCTGGGTTCTATGAAGAAAAATGTGGCATCAGGATTAGAGGAAGACTCATTAACAACCTGCAATGTGCAGATGATACAAGCTTGCTTGCTGAAAGTGAAGAGGACTTAAAACATTTACTGATAAAGATCAAAGAACCCAGCCTTCGGTATGGATTGAATCTCAATGTAAAGAAAACAAAAATCCTCACCACTGAACCAATAAACAACATTCTTATCAATGAAGAAAAGATTGAAGTTGTCAAGGACTTCATTCTTTTTGGATCAGCTATCAACACTCATGGAAGCAACAGTCAAGAAATCAGTATTGCATTAGGCAAATCTGCTGCACAGGAACTTTTTAAAGTGTTGAAAAGCAAATATGCCAGCTTGAGGACTAAGGTACAACTGACTGACCCAAGCCATGGTATTTTCAATCACCTCATATGCATGCGAAAGCTGGACAGTGAATAAAGAAGACCGTAGAAGAATTGATGCTTTTGAGTTATGGTGTTGGAGATTATTGAAAGTGCCATGGGCTGTCAAAAAAAGCAATAGATCTGTTTTGGAAGAAGTGCAGCCAGAGTGCTCCTTGGAGGACAGGATGACCAAATTTCATCTGTCATACTTTAGACAAATTGTCAGGAGGGATCAGTCGCTGGAGAAGGGTATCATGTTTGGCAAAGTGGAGGATTAGAGAAAAACAGGAAGGCCCCCAGTGAGATGGATTGGCCAAGTGGCAGCATCGATGGACTCAAGCGTTCTGTTGTGCATAGGGTCGTTATGAGTCGGTACCAACTCGATGGCACCTAACAACAACAACAACAAGCATCTAGCTTTATGCCTGACACACAGGCACTTATTGAATGACTGTTGAAGGAATGGGTAAATGAATGAAGTCAGGCCAAGGACTCATGCATGAGTGGGAAGCTGGACCACCAATGCTGCCCTCATGACACAGAGCATCAGTTTGTGTGGGCATCCATCATACCTTTCCTTGTCAAACACCCTCAATTGGTAAGTGAAGGCTTGCTGCCAAAGATGAATCCCAGGTGGGGTGCCCGGGTGAACCATGGACAGGGTTTACTCCTGTGCTCTGTCTTGTCAGGGTCTACCCACACTCCAGCCCTGGCCTGAGGGAACTGGCCAGGAATTGCCAACTTTCTCTTCTGGAGCTGAGAATAGCACATCAGACTATTCACATTGATATTTCCTTCTGATTTTTTTCCTCCTAGATGCCCTCATTAGATTTAAGAATCAGGATCATGAAGAAACCTAGCTATCCTTAAGCCAGAGGCCAAGCAGAAAAGTAACTTGGTGCATTCTCTTACCTACTGACACACTCTCCCAGTCCCTAAATAGAAGACTTCAGGCTTTCTTATGGAGATTAGAGCCCCAACATTCTACAGACCCAAGGTTCACTCTGTCTATGCAAAGTGAGGTGGAGACTTGGCAACTTTATCAGAGCCTGGGTCCCTGAGTGACAGTGTGGAGGAAGTGGGGCCCCACTGGCCAGTTTACTTCACACTACTGTTATGAGTAGTGGTTATGAGTCAGGCTGCGAACTTAAGGTCAGCAGTTCAAAACTACCAGCTGTTCTGCAGGAGAAAGATGAGGGTTTCTGCTCCCGTAAAGATTTACAGCCTCAGAAACCCTATGCGGGGTATGAGTCAGAACCAACTCCACCGCACACCACCACCACCACTGTTAAGTGAGCAAGGAATACTCTTTTGCTGTTTTTGAGCCTTTCAGTGGCTAGGTTTGGGTTAGGGTGGGGGACAGTGGGGCTGGTCAGCCCTAGGTGCAGGCCATAGCAGCCTTATCTGTAGGTGTGTTTTTTTGTGGAAAGTTTAAAAATAATAATATAACAAACTAAAAAATTCATCTACTTATTACCACCATGCTCCAGCAATTCTAAACAATGTCAATGGTTAAAGCCTATCAGGGAAGACTGCTCTTCACCTTTCCACTCCTTGTCCTTCACATATTTTAGTTAACCAAAGGAACCATTATATAATTTGAGGTATGTGTAAAGGCTCACTGGTGGTGCCATGGGTTGAGCACTGGACTGTTAGCCAAAAGGTCAGTGGTTCAAACCCACCAGCAGCTCAGTGGGAGAAAGCTAAGGCAGTTTGCTTCAGTAAAGATGAGTTCTTTTCTGTCATTTAGGGTTGTTATGAATTAAAATTGACTCGATGGTAGCTTCTGTATGCATGCATGCATGTATGTATATATGTATGTATGTATGCATGTATGTATGTATTTATGGAGTCCTGGTGTGGAGCTGTGAGTTAATGGGTTGGAATACAAAATCATTTGAGCCACACAGTTGGCAGTTCAAACTCACCAGTTGCTCCTTGGAAACCCTATACAGGGTCACTATGGGTCGAAACCAACTTGAAGGCACTTAACAACAACAACAACATGTACGTATGTATTTATAGCATTTAGCTTTCTTTGGCGTTCTGGTATGATTCTGTAGGATAAGCAATGGACTGCTAACCGAAAGGTTGGTGGTTCAAACTTACCAGCTGCTCCTTGGAAATCCTATAATGGATAGCTATTAGTCAAAACTGACTTGATGGCACACAACAAGGACACCAACAGTACCGGCTTCCTTTATAACATAGGAATATAGCAGTGCATGCAGTAATGCAGGGCCTCCTGACTGCATAACACTAAGCCATTCTGGGAAAATGAGCTCAGGGGAAAAGGGCCCCAGGCAATTATCTGTGCCTACAGTTGCTTTGGCTTAGCAGTTAAATGCTAGACTGCTAACATCCCTGCCCCCGGACTTGGTGCTATGCTTCCTTAAACATGAGAGTCTAGGAAACCCTATGGTGCAGTCCCACTCTGTCACACACAGGACCACTGTGACAGGGAATGCACTTGGCACCCAGCAACAACAGAATTGCCATGTGATCTTGGTTGCTTCCAAAGGAATTCCATTTCTAGGGTGTATCCCAGCACCCCTTGACCCAGGTTCACCCTTGCAGAGCTGTGCCCAAGATGCAGGAACAAGGCCCTCCTCAGACCAGGGCTCACTGGTGTAGGCTGCTTCCTGTTCCCTCTGGATCCATCCCTACATCCACACACAGCCTGAGAGTGTGTCCACCTTGTTTTTCTGCAGTGGGGATAGGTGATAAAGACCCCAGAAAGACCCACCATTCTTTACTGTTCCATTTGACTCTTTTTCTTGACCCCTTTTCCACTCTTACTCTGTTTCTATGAGAGGGTGTTCCAGAAGGTTATGTCTCATCTTTGTCTTCATGTGGACACAGTGTGTAATGAGTTTACTTAAGGACCTGAGGGGTTGGGTAATTTAGCATAATTATAGTAGGGTCTGCCACTGGTACTATATAAAAAAGGCAGGTGCTTAACCCATTCAATTGCGTTTGCACCCTGCTCTTTCCTGGTACGAAATGGAGGCACCCTACAGAATGGCCTAGGGACAGAGTGACACTCCCTGATCAAAGCTCCCAGAGGCTGAGGTGAGCAGCCACTGGCCAGAGGCCTTGGTTTTGTGCCAAATCTTACCATCCTCGAGGACCTGCTTGGGTTCCATTCTTTGGTGACTTGTTGACCCTCCCATCTGCTGTGATGTGGGTGTCCCTCCTCAAAGCCAGCAACACTCCACCATCATCTTCCTCTCTTGCTGTGAATCTCTTTTGTCTCTGTTTGTTCTCCCAGTGAGATCATAGGCCTCCCTCAGCACCTAGATTAGATGTTTGCTTCTGATGGGGTCTCAGCCCTTACTTGTTAAATGAAGTCCTTGCTTGTTGACTTACCTGGGCTTCCACTCAGGCAGCCCTCTGAGGGCGCTCTAAGGCTTGACACAGAGTCGAGGACAAGACAAGACGAACAAGCTCTCCAGTTATCAGCCATTCCTCTGGTGTCCAGTCTATTCAATTCATCCACTATTTACTGAGGGCCTCCTAAGACAAACCCACTGCCATCATCAATTCTGACACATGATGATCCTCTATAGGGTTTCTGAGACTAAATCTTTGTAAGAGCATATAGCTTCATCTTTCTCCTGAGGAGAGGCTGATGGTTTTGAACCGCCAGCCTTACAGTTACCAGTACAACACTTAACCTGCAGCACCATCTGGGAGACTTTCTGAGGGCCAATTATGTGCTTGCTAATTGCCATTGGGGAGGGGATATAAAGGTGCACAAGACATTCTTTCTGTTTTCAAGGGAGTGATACAAGCCCCAGTAGCAATTCTAAAGACAGAATATAGCTAAGAGTTTTAGTAAGAAAAGACTTAACGAGGTGCCCTCCACATGTGGTCAGCTTAGAAGGATGGACCATTAGAACCTTAGAGGGACATACCCTTAGTGGGACATACATACCCTTAGTGGGACATACCCTTTGAGGCTCAGTATTATGCTGGTCTAGGCCTCCACTTGCCTATGTGGGATAATGATCCCTGGTCTACTCACAGTGCTGAAAGGAAATTAAGGACTTAACAGATATGTCCAGGCCTGTGGGGTTGAAAAGGCAGGGGACAGGTTTATTGTGATGCGGGGTCTCCTTGATATGCTTATTAAAAGAGGCAAGTTTCAGCTTTCCTCTCTGTCTGCTTAGTGGGAGATTCCCACGCTCATAAATGGCTTTAATAACTTTCTCCTGCCTTTTATGTTGTCAAGAGGCCCGTCCTCTGCCTGATAAAAGGCCTTCCCAGCCCCGGTGAGATTCATATCCTCTCAGGTCATTTCCTCTCCCTGGAACAATCTGCAGAGCAGAAGCATGGCCAGCCGTTCTTACCGCATCAGCTCTAGCTGCAGTGCCCGGAATTTCAGCTCCCGCTCTGCGGTCTTGCCCAAGCCTGGGACTCACAATTATGTCAGCGCCATTGCCTATCGTGGAGGCAGTCCTGGGGGGCCGGGTTACAGGCGTCTCAGCGGCTTTGGCAGCCGGAGCCTGTGTGCAGTGGGGTCTCCCCGGATGGCGGTGAGCTGTGCGCGGCCCCTGAGAAGTGGGGGCAGCTTTGGCTATCGGGCAGGAGGCCTTTGTGGGCCCATTCCCCCCTGCATCACCTCCGTGACAGTCAACGAGAGCCTGCTCACACCCCTCAACCTGGAGATCGACCCCAACGCGCAGTGCGTGAAGCATGAAGAGAAGGAACAGATCAAGTGTCTCAACAACAAGTTTGCTGCCTTCATTGACAAGGTGGGTTTGTATGTTGCTCTCAGGAGCTGTGACACGGGAAGGAGTCTGGACCTGGAGCTCAGGAACTGTGTTCAAGTTTTTGGAGTGAGAACTTAACTGAATCAGGGTCTTGCTTTTCTCATTTTTTAAATGTGTGGAGTCGACCAGACCTCCATATAGAACAGGAGGGTTTATTACTGCTATTTAGAATGAGCACTGGACTGTTAATTGCAAGGTCGGTGGTTCAAACCCACTAGCTGCTCCTCAGAAACCCTATATAGGATAGCTATGAGTTGGAACTGACTCAATGGCACTTAACAACACACACCACAACAAGAGCTGAATGCGTGTTTGTGGCTCTAATACTTACGCCCTCCATCTTCCAGATATCTAGTCATTACACAATTAAAGAATGGGCATTATACAATCAAAGATGAGCAGCTTTGCTTAGGCTGATGTCCAATGTCCTTAGCCAGGATTGAGAGGGACCTGGTGACAGGTTCATTTTGGTGAACACTATAGGAAGGTTATGAATTCCCAGGACGTCTGCCTAACACCCCAACTCCCAAATACTTACACAGATTAGAGATGCACAGTTGAGGAATGTAAAGAATGGTTCATAGAGAAGCTACTTAGTTGTACTCTTCTATATTATAGTTTCTGAGTTCTTTTATCTGGTCGAGTAGATAACTTTGGTTTCCTTTGACATAATAATGTGCCTTCTGAGAGCTCACAATCTCATCTTTGGGAGAGGACAGCCACTGAAGTCCAAAAGGACCAGGAAACAACCCATCTTTGAGGTCTGTACCCAGGAGTGCATAAGAAGACATGCACCAGTGTGATGGTGCGTGGGAACTCTGCTTCAGACAATCACCACCGTTAGAAATAGATTTGTCTGTGAGCAGAGGTCCTGTGTGTCCATTCATAACATACAGCCACTGTTCCCTTCCATCAGCATAAAGTGACTGACTATTGATTCGTGAAGGTTGGTCCTCTCACTAGGACACACAGCTTAAGGATGAGGGCAGAGAGGTTAAAATCGAGCCCATGTTCTGCTCACCTAACTGGAAGGGGGATCTTTGCCTAATTTATTCAAAAGCACAGTGAGTGTTCTGAGCACACACTCTAGAAGAGTCTTTGTGGAGTTTTGGGCATCACCAATGTCTGCTCCTGTTGTGAGTGGTCAGCTCTAGGTCTGGGGAAAGAAACTTTCCACTCCCCCAGGGTTGTTTCCTTCAAGATGAGCTCCAGATCTGCACATTGCATGGATGTGGTAGCTCTTACCCTGCAGAGCTGGTAAGCCAATGGGTGCCCCTACTCCCTGGGCATGCATGCTGAAGCTAGAGGTCAATCCTTTTTCCAACATCAGGATTTGGATTCCTTTTACCACCAACACCGGCCACTGAGAGTTGCCCTGTACCAGACTTGTATTTAGGGCTTGAGAGGAAATCACGTAGGTTAGGGCTAGTAACTTCAACCTTCCATGGGGTCTGAAAGACTCATGTGCACCAAGCTAGCTGAAGAGGGGCAGGCCTGCAGAAAGGGGTAAGTGGCTGCTCCTATTGACCTCCAGACACAGGCCCAGCCTTGTCAAAGCTTCTGGTTTGTTAAGAAGACTGGTGCCTTTGTTTCTTAGTGCTGCTATAACACAAATGGCTGGCTTTAATGAACCAATTTATTTTCTTGTCATTGGGAAGCTGAAAGTCTGAATTCAGGGAACTGACTCCAGGTCCTTGGTTGTTTTTTTTTTTCAGCTTCAACAGAAGTTGTTTGGTAATACCCACGTGGTATCAATCCTTCTTGGTTTGTCCTTGCTCGATTCTGTGACTAATTTGCTCCTTATATCTCAGAAGTGGTTGGTTTAAGGTACCTATGCCAAAATCTTCACGTTAACACAGCCAAGAAAACCCTGTTCCCAAATGGGATCCTAATCACTCATATAGGGTTTAGGACTCCAACACATGCTTTTGGGGGATACAATTCAACTCATAACAGTTGGGAAAAAAATCCAGATTCTTGCCTGAAATCACCCAAATATTAAATGTTGGCAATTAATT